TGTGTGTGTGTGTGTGTGTTTAGCGGTGTAGAGACGCTCAATTTGTGCTGATGTGTGTTCACATTTGTTTCTCTCATGGCTTTTACCATGTGTATCTGTCTTTAAACATTGTGGAAATGGACCAAAATGTTTAGAATGAGAACTGAACTGAAATCACCTCTCACCTCGGTGCTCACATCATGTCACACTCCGAGGTCATGATGCTGTTTCAAGCCTCATAATGTTGCCATGTGCTGCGATGGCATCTTCATTTTCTCCTTCATTTACCTGGGCCTCTCCCTCGTCTCTACATCTGCAACGAGAGCAGAGCAGCATTTAATGATTTGTCAGTTTAGATGGTCGATGTTGCACTGATAATATTTTGTCCTTGCTGTATGTGTGTGTGTAGATCTAACGGGCTGTCACACTCATGGAGTGAGAGAATCCCAGATGCCAAACACATTTCCGACATCTGTGAAAACGGGCGACCGAGGAGCAACTCGTGGCAAGGTAACACACAGATCCCCACTTATTCACAAGAGGAAATATTGCTGATGTATGTTCTCTCTCTCTTGCATTATACATAACCCCAGTAAGTATTTTGCGAGGATATTATATCTATATCTCTATGTTAAGTTTTTGTTTATGTTCTGTTTCTCTGCAGGAAATCTGAGCGGGAATCGTAAGAAACTGAAAGGAAAGAAGTTCCGTGCTCGCTCTAACTCCACAGAGTAAGTTTGTTGTGGCAAGTTGGTAATGTTGTCATTTCAGTGAACATAGTGACGCTCAGGTACGCAGATGAACAGAAGCTCTAGTTGAAAATACATCGACCAGTCATTGGGTTTTTTAAAGGATAAAGCTCATGTTATTCTTTATTTTATATTGTGTACATCAACAAATCCCATTAAAAGACCAAAACTTTTTAGTTTGTTCTCTCATCACTTAAGTTCCATCGCTCTTCAGTGTGACTAGCTCCTACAGAGGATGTAAATCATTCAAAAATGTATAATAATAAAAAATTATAGTTGGGCTTACGTTAACAGGATTAAATAGTGTATTTATTGGGAACTATTTTCACTTGTGGATGAATATACATTTGGTGAAACGTCTTGATTGATGGATGAGACTCATGATTGGTCGAGGCTCCATTCCCTGATGTCTACTGCACAGACTCTGGCTCCAAATGCAATTAGGATCAATTTATTGTTTGTTTTGGTCTTTTTATGAGGTTTGTTGAGTATAATAAAATAAAGAATATACATTTTATTATCTACTAGCAGAGCATAGCTATAATAACACAATTTGTTTTCCTCTCAGAGGAGAGATAGACATTTAAAGAGTGTTGTACTGAGGCTCATCAGCTGGTCAAGTCCTAAGTGAGGTCACATTGTTCACATCAGCTCTTGTGGAACTTGTGAACTCTAGTCACAAATATTACAAATGCTGCTAATAACCAAATGAAGCATATGTTTCCATTCCTGCCTGTTGACTGTGAATGAACAATGAATGGTGCATCGGCTGCCTCCTGTCTGTGGGTCTGAAGGTCATGGCACATGATGCACAGTCTGCAGTGCACCTGTTCTCACTGCAAGCATGAGACTGACTGAGTGGCGACAAGCATAAGCGCTCGGAATGATGTGACATGTAACCAATGTGCAAGTGAACCTGTAACACACAACACAGTTGTTTGCCATTGACATGGTGCTGTTTTCATCCGACACCACACGCAGGTCTGTCCGCCATCGTTCTCACCATTTTCTCTACTGCATCTTGGTGTTTGTTCAGATTATCTTTGCTCTGCTCTGCTTTCCTAAAAATATTTCCTCTTCCTCTCTCCTCCTCCCCCTCCCAATACTTACTTCTGGAGATCTTCCTTTTCATTTCTGTTCCTTCCTTTTCTCTCTTCTCCCCCTTCCTTGTGTTGTGTCCATCACCCCACACCCCCCCTCACCTCCCACAGGTATTTAACCCCTCGCTTCAAAGCAGAGATTTATGATGTAACTAAATGGGTAGAAGATGTGAATAAAAACACTCAAGGACCTTACCTTAGGTATAACCTCAGACCATGTCCCTGTACCCCACACGCTTCTTAAAACCCCCTCACTTTTCATTTAATTTATCGTTTTGTCAAGGAAAGAAAGAATTAGTGCCAATCTGGGAGAGTTTTTCTGCCGAAGTTTGAAAATAAAATCTCAGAGAACTTGTTCTCAACAGCTGGCATGCTGGGATTTGTAGTCTTTAAAAAGGTGAAAAGAAGTTTTCTGCTTTATATTTTATTATATATTTTGCCCAGTTTTATTAAAGCCATTTTCTCCTTTTTAACCAGCTGCATTTTAATTTGCAGATTTTTATTTCCTGCTGTAATATGACTCTTGCTTCCGTCTGTGCCCGTGTAACAGTTATGCTGCAGATATAATTTTATACCTTTTTTCTCCACATCCCCTCCTTTGCTTCTCCCCCTCCGCCTCTTGTTACCTCTGCATGTTCAGTGTTGTCGTGTCAGTACGTGTCCGTGTGTCGGCCCCGCCTCGCTCCCTGGTGGCCTTACGCTCCTTCCCATCAGTGTGATGTCACTTCTGAGCCAAACATTTTGTGACATCATCACTGAGCTGCTTTGACAAACTGTAGGCCACCTCTTCGATCGTGTCCAAGGTCTATAGATCATCACAAACACGAGGTTTCCTTAAGAACGAGGGAGCTCATGGGCTCACAGGCTCTGTAGAGCTCTGGTCCCATGTTAGCACACTGACTGTTTCTTCACCTCACCTGACCGTCAGTCAGCGTTGTAATCTATAGACCTTCACTGCGTCCAGGAGCACAATCCTGCCCCTCCGCCCACTTTACATTTACTCAATGATAGAATCAGTGCAACAGAGTGGAGAGACATGGAGGATTATAAGGTTTACAGAACAAAAACCTCAATGTTGAGTCAACGTGATCTCACTGTTCGGTTCTTTCCAGCCCAAAACGTACACTTATGAATAATCTTCAAAAGGAACGGGGCTAGTTCACACGTCAAAGGACTCACTTGCCGTAGCGACGTCTCAAGTACAAGGACTCTCCTCAGATTGACAAGAATAACAGTGAGGACATGTATTTGATGCCATGGTGTCATTTTCTCCAAAGTCCTAAATGCTGATGTAACTATAATTTTTTTAAATCAAGAAATTAACAAAGAACCCTGATATGTTTTTTTAGAAAATAATGAGTTTTACAGAAATGCTTAATACCACAGGAGCTGTTGCTGTTAGTGCTTCTATTAAAAGCCCTTTTTGAGCTGCTCCCTCAACCAACGGTCTCTCCACCTCTCTGACCAGCGCTGGTATATCCCATCACCACACAGCAGTGGTATATAACCAGCTACTGTACACGGGGCAGGTTTTCTCTGTCTATTCCTCTTACCCAGCTCCGGTCTGGTCTGACGTCCCAGTCGCCTCATCAAACTCACTGCTCCCAGCATTTGTCACATTCAGCACACGTACTGGTCCAACTCTACAAGACGACACATGGGCACAGCTCACAGCAGGATATACCTCTAGCAGCCCCACAGAGGCTAAATGTATATTCGTGCAAATTCTGGCCTTGTGTGTGTTTCAGTGCAGGTTGATGAAGCAGTGATGCTGGAGCATGTGATACAGGAAACTATGACTGTCCACACCGCAGCTGGGTCCCTGTGTGCCGCTGAAAAAGAAGTACAAACTGTATACAGAGGTTGACCATAAAAGCTGAAGGATGGTGTTATTTTTAACAGATGCCACGATCCGTCTTTCTGAGGGAAACTGTGATACAAGCTTTTAAGGGCAACCTCTCTGTGCAGGAACACTGAATAATTAGAGCAGCTCAAGAAGGATGTTGCCCAAAGTCACAGATCCAACATTAGCTCAACGTCGTCAGTCTAACCTCATTTATCCATCTGTGTCTTTGGCCAACATAATGCTGCACCAGGTAGAAAAGAAGAGGCAATCATTTTGATGATGTCACTTTATCTTTCCCTCAGGACGCTATCCCCCGCCAAGTCTCCCACTTCCTCCACAGGATCCATTGCATCCAGCAGGAAGTACCCGTACCCCATGCCCCCTCTCCCCGATGACCAGAGGAAAGCCAACAGGCAGAGTGCCAGGGCAAGTATCATCAATATGATCACATCATGTAACATAAAACCACATTACAGCAAGGATTGTGTTGGGACGACTGGTTTTAAATACAGTGGTGATTCTGTTCTGGTTGTCACAATGAATGAGAGAATCAAAGGGGGGGGGGGCAGATTTAGGAGACTTAACAGGGTTATGCGCTCTCTGAGTGATATCAGTAATCATTATCAGTCCTGTAAAGATTTTTCATCAATGGGAAATCTGTGTAAATGTTGAAAAATGTTAAATTCCCGGTATTCCCCTGACCCATACTGAATCCTTCCACCAAGTTTCATGGAAAAAGTTACGTCCAATGTTGAATTAATTTTTCTTTCTCTTCTCTTACTTTCCTCCTCCCTCTTCTTGTCCGTGCAGCTGTGGGAGACTTCAATATAACAGCCGTATCAGCCACTCTGCAAAAGACCTAAAGGAACTACACTTGTCTCTCCTTTTCTATGAATGACAAACACAAAATGAAACAAAATTGACTCTAGGCGACTAAAGAGAAAGAGAGAGAGAGAGCCCCCAACTAGAGTGGAAACAGGCAGAGGTGTGTGTGAGTCGGTGTGTACAAGCATCTCTGAGGCCGTCGAGCCAGACGTTCAGTGGATCACTACAAGATGACGCTAGAGTGCACACGGGAAAACCAGCTCCACATCCACTCCAGACCAGCTGGAGCTGAGACTGAGCTCTTCCAGTCTGCTCAGGCCTCACCAACAGGCCTCACTAATGGGACTCCAAACCCCAACCTCCACCCCCCCCCTTTCCCACAATCCCTGAAACCTTGACACATCCTCCACAGCTTGGCTCACATCACACTCATTTCAACACCCACCGCTCCATGAGTGGTTCCAAGCTCAGCAGAACCAGAAGTGGGTCACGGCATCGCTGGATTCGTCGGATCATTTTTGACGCACGTGAAATCACTGTAGAAACTCCCAACACTGTATGCATGAGACAACCCCGTTTATCAGCAACCTCCTCCGAGCGAAAAGACGAGAAGAAGAGCGATGTGAGAGGAAAGCATGCGAGGGGGCAGTGATTTTATACCGTCTGTAGGCTTAGATGCTTTCTCTCCACTATAGGTAACTCATATTGTATCACCACTTATAACCCATGACATGGACCCGACCCTGCTCCTCTTCCTCCCGTCCCTCGGTTTGTTTGTGTAAATATGTACAGTGAAATACAAAGAGTATGTTTTTGCTTTTTTTTTGAAAGAGGAAGGTATCCTCCTCCTGCTGTGTTGTGTTGTAGACAGAAGCAGATCTCTGTAGATGGGTGTCGAGACCTCCCCACTCGTCTCTCTGTCTGTTTCAAACTTTCTCCTCCTCATTTCTTTCTTCCCTCCCTCTGGCTTTTTTTCCCCATGCGACTGTGACCTCTATAGCTTTCTCCATCCACAGCAGAATGTAACGTGTTCTCTAGTTTTCTCAATATTAGCACTAGTGTCACTTATCTCTGGGAGAAACACACAGACGTGAAGAGGAAGTATAAATTGTGGCACAGTGAGAAGTTGATTTAGCTCAATTAGTTTGACGTGCCATCCCTGTGTGAGGTGAATGGTCTGAGATGTGTTTGGTGTAGTTATAGATATTCCACTTTTCACTCACGTGGCTTTTGGAAGGTTTTCCCATCGATGGTGTTAAGAAGTTGAGAGTTTTCCACGATTCAACATTTGGATGTTTGAGACCGAACGTGCGATGAGATCTGGAAACCGTGATTGAAATGTGCATTTTGGATTTAGCTGTTGATGATTGAAATATTTAGCTTGTAAATGAGTAACTATGCTGTACAGTGCTTGCTGTTCGAGCTTGTGAAGACCAACAGCATGACAGTTCTATATCAAATTAAGTTATTTCTCTGGTAGGCTGTTTGTAAGAACATAACGAGAAGGAAGCATGTCACTGAAAAGACCTTTATTTCCCCCCCCTCACTGCTACTGCTTAATGGGTTTGTGCACCCGCAGACTGTCTCAGGACCAGTCATGGCAGGAAGTCACAGGGTTGAGACGTGATTGAGAATGGACATCTTTAGATATTTAAGTTGGATCTTTGTGGAGAATAATCTCATATCAGCAGGTTCTCTGTACAGTTACAGCTCGTTGTTCTACCTTGTGTAGAAACTGTCGTCTTAAGGGCCTCACGTTTGTCATTCTACCGTCGTTTCGTTTTTGTTCTGGTGTTGGCACTTGTTCATTTGTAATTCATGTATGCATTAGGACTGTATAGGTAATATGATTGTCACAATATTGGACTAATATTGCTTCTAGTATCTTTTTTTAATAAGTACCTTTGTAATGTTCACTTTTTTCTCAGCATTATGTACAGCAACTACTCCGACAGTTATTAAGTGCATTATTGTAATTCTGTGTTAATGAGTTTGAAAGGAGAGATGAAGGCTTTTCCCTTTTTTTTTTTTTTTTACACATTCTCTCCTTTGGCATGTGCTGATCAGTATCTGATAGGTTTTGGACACACGTGTTGTAACTGAGGTCTGAATGATTTGCCTTCATCCAGAGCTTTTTAAGTCTTTGCTCTGGTTCTTCAGCGTCCAGTGGCGCAGGTTGTAATCTTCTTAACATCGTAATACTGTGCTACAGCGAGACATTTTCTCCTGGTGTCACCGACGTTGCACTGGATGATGGGACCACGCAGGCTGCAGTCACTTCTGATTGTACGGCTGTCAATCTTTCCTGTAAACATATCAGCCGTTGCCTACCTGCACACGTTGGGTGGACTCTGGCGAACGCCTGCACGCATGAGCTGTCTGTCTCTGTGTGGCCAGAGACTTGAATGTATTTGTGTACTAGAGCACACCCACCACCGAGTCTCCCCCACACTGTCCCATCCCGCCAGGACACATCGGCACTCCGCTCCAGGAACCTTAAAAAAACCACACATGTTCTAGTTCAGATCTAAATACTGCAGTTGCTGTCAGTTTTTAATTTTTCCTTTCAAAATTTTTGCCTGTATGCTGTACATACGATGATGCAAAAATCAATCCCCTTATTTTTTCCCCCCTCTTAATCATTCAGTATTGTAATATATTTAATATAAAATAAAACTTTCATCAACACAACTGTCTATTCTGCTGTTTTTAATAGCTTCTAGTAACTTGTAAAGGAAAACAAACAGCACATACATACATACATACATACTGGAAAACTGATAATTTATTGATTGTTCTTTTATTACAACACTACAGGGATGCACTGATCCAGTACAAACATTATCTAGTGGCTCCACGGCTGATTCACGACTATTCATGAGTTTCTCCTGTGATACATTGATTCATTTAAAGTTGCAGACTCTGTTGTTGGTGCCACATCCCTGTTACATGGCATCAAAATGATTCTAATGATTTCAAATGTTGGCATCAGTGAATCAAACACACAAAAAGATAAATACCATCTTAGCCTTCATTAACAATCAGATGAAACAGAAACGGTTGCTGAGGAGGTTCTGCATCATCTATGTATCTGGTGCTAAAGCTGATGCTGCATTGGTTTGACCTTTTCTCAGTAAAGGTTTACGAATCTGTTCGCTCAAATACTTATCAGTCTTTTGCAGTGCATCATTTCTGAATAGGACCTCGACAGCATCGACTGATATTTAGATCACATCCACCAACCAAACTTGAAGCACGTGATATTTTGGCAGCGTTGGTCAATAAGGAAGACAGATGTCCTTGAAACGCACCGAGCAGGGTGTCTGTCACAGGTAAGACAGAAAAGTTCCACTTCACCAGTTTGATCTTTTTTCAGAGCAGAGCAGAGCTCTTGTCATCGTGCTCTGAAGGTCCGACTCTCCGTGTTTATTATAAATGCTCGTGCGATGTTTGCCTAAGTGCCTGCAGTCTTTCTTGATGGATGGCTTTGGTTGCCATGGCGTCGTCTTCATCAAGCGACTCTCGGATGCAGCTTTTCAAATTGTCGATACCAAACCCGGTAGTGGCAGAGACGGGAACCACGTGTCTGAAGGTCATGTACTTGGTAGGTATCATGTCGTCAGGCAGCAGATCAGAGAACTCTGCAGGAGGGAAAAACAACATGAATGTTACAAATCAAGTTTGTCCTGGTAAAGATTTATGTTCAGTGTGTTGAAATGTTTTGAGCTGATATATTTTTCTATTCCTCAAGGAATAAAACTGCAAAGCAAATCCATAAAATTTACCATCTGGGTTTTGTAGCTGCTCCTTCAGCTCCTGTAATTTGTCCTCAGCGTCGGGAAGGTCCATCTTATTCACCACCAGCAGAGCAGGCTTCGACACAAGCTCCTCTTTGTACAACTCCAGCTCCTTTAGGTGACAAAGAAAGAGAAGGAGGAGCATGAAGAAGAAGACGGAGGAGGTAAATAAATGGTACACATGAGGATTCAGGTCAGGTCAGATTATAGCTACAGTATCAGTCTCACCTTGGTGAGAAGCTGCACAGCTTCAAAGGCCGACCTAAAGGGTGTTTTACTCGCCAGCTGGAAATCAGAAACATCAACCTGCCGCCAGACAAAACACAAACCAGATCCATCATCATCATCATCATCACAACCTGTAATTTGTGAATGGTTTTGACATAACTTTTTAAATAATTTACTTATGTAATGTTTCTTTTTACATTTGTTTTAACTATTTCACTTGTCTCTGCTAAATTAAACACATTCAAATTCATATGTAGTTGCGGCTTCTGACTCACAACGAACAGTAGCTGCTTGGTTCTCTCCACATGTTTCAGGAACTTGTGGCCCATTCCTTTATTTACGTGAGCCCCCTCAATCAGGCCCGGCAGGTCAGCGACAGAGATCTGCAGAAAAGAAACAAATGATGTGAACAAATGTTGAAGAGAAACAAATAAGTGGACACTTATTTACCGGAGATACTGAACACTACTGAGCATTCTCATACCTGTTTGTAATCTTTATACATCAGTTTGCCAATCTCAGGCTTCAAAGTTGTGACTGTAAAATAAACGAAGATTTTAGAAATAACAGTAACACAGCAAACACACCGTCACAGTAAACACTTGTAGCATCATGTACATACAAGCGTAGCTGGCGATCTGAGGTGTGGCGTTAGACAAGGCCGTCAGCAGAGAAGACTTTCCTGCATTTGGGAACCTGATTCAGCACAAAGAAAATCAGACATTCAAAGACACATGAAGCCAGTTTGAGCCTCAGCTGAAATGAACCAGTATGTTTGTGTGTGTTTCTGTTCTCACCCGACGAGGCCCAGGTCAGCGATTAGTTTGAGGTCAAAGCGTATGTGTTTGGCCTGACCCTTACTGGGCTCAAATGCAGAGTAGAGGGAGCCTCCTGGTCCTCCTTTCGCCACCAGCACGCGGTCACCTTCAGCGTTCAGGTCACCTTGGAGGGGAACAAAAATTTTAAAACACAACACATTCATTGATTTTTTCTGCTCATTTGTTTTGTTTTTTTCTCTTATCTTTGCTTCTTTATGTTTATTGACAGATCACTAACAGCATTTATGATTTGCAACTGAATAAAAACTTTCATTTTAAAGTCCCCAATTACTGAATCAGTCTCCACAAATCCATATTATTTGGGCTTTAATTAACTCAAATGCTGTATTTCACCTTCATGTTCTTTATTAGCTTTAATGTCAACTGTATTAATTCTTTTTCAAATGTTTGACCAACAGTATGTTGCGTTTCACAATAAATGTTACCAAGTATTCTGCCATCATCAGCTGTGACAGTGATACCAACAGGAGCAAAGATCTCCAGGTCCTTTCCCTTCTCTCCTTTCAGTGCTCGGACACTGTCAATTAAATACAATACACACATGCGATAATTACACAAAACAGGTTTTAGCATCTGTTGTACAACATAAAGCTTCAGTTGAACTTAACCTCTGACTTTGTGTTTGAGAGAAAAGTCGAGGTTGGATTTAGAGAAACTAACCTGCTGTTGGCTCCTCCTCCTCCTAGGAAACGTTTCTGAGGATATTTGTCCTTGATCCGCTTCAGCGTCAGGTTCTTTGTTGCCACCACCCAAACATCTCCTCCCTTTCCTCCCTGTCCCCCGAGACGGGGCAACCCCATACCGCCGCTGCCACCGCGGACATACAGACGGAGATTGTCCACAAGGTTTCCAAACTGCAAAAAGGAGATTTTAGACTGATGAGATTCACAAATGTGTCCAGGAACACCGTTCAATATTAAAGTAATGATTAATAAAAACATTGTCAGCAGGGATTGGCTCCAGCCTCACAATGGAGGATAAGTGGTATAGATAATGGATGGGTGGATTGATGTATAACTATTTTTTTTTTGTATAATTGTATAGATCATGTGTGATCTAGTCACCCAGATCAGGAAATATGTTTTGGACTTTGGACTAGTAAGAGGACCTTGAGCTGTGACACTAAAGTTTTCAAATTTAAGAATTAGGGTTTCTGCTCAAATTCTCATGCACTGGATTTCACAATAAAACTGAAACCTAAGTTGAGCTAGGTTAGCATGCTAACAGTAACGCGTTCACTCTGATACTGTTCAGTCACAGATAACTCTCATCGTAACAACATCGTGATAAAAGTGTGAAATGGTTGAGAACACAGAGCCAGTTGGTCTGTGTTGATGTTTGGAAGCTAGTTAGCCTGTTAGCTTCGCAGCCAATGTCACCGTAAATAAAAAATAACTGTGGATGAAATCCTCGAGCATGAGATCACAGTGTGGTGTGTTTCAGTGTTTACCTTCCGGAGGCAGATCCTGCTGAGCTGAACCATCCTCAGTGGCGCTTGTTGCCTTGTCGATCCACAGTTTGGTCTCTGTTGACTGAGTTAGCTGCTAGTGGACATGTGTTGGTGCAGGACAGGAAGCGGTGGTGGGTTCTCTCAGCTGATTGGCTCATGAAGCCGAGGGGCGGGACGGAGCTGCATCTGGACTGAGCCTGGACTGTATTAAAAAGATTCACACATGCAAACAACTATTGATTTGACTTTGCGTAAGAACAAATAATAATACTATAACAATAGTGTAATAAAATACAGTAGCCCTGCAAATATACAACAACAAAATAATATTTACTTAAGTTACAGACACAACTCCATTTTATCAACGGAGTTACTTTGTAAATTCTGATCATTAATACAAATATAAGATAAGTTCATCCTTTATTAGTCCCACAATGGGGATCATTGCAATATTACAGCAGCAAGGTTAGAAATAGGCACCAGTAAGTAATAATAAATAACATACAATACTTGTGGGGATAATAATACTTAAGTGTAAGGATAATAACACTGCTGCTGTGATATCAGAGGACATTTAGGATCAAAACTTGGTGAATATGACGCCGTTTCGAGTCATGGTTGAATGTTGGGGCCCACAGACACTTGAATGACACCACAGGAGCAGTATGGAGGCATTCTCTGGTTTTTCCTGTTGTTTTATACGTTTTAAGAAATGGTTCCCTAGTTACTTTAGTTGTGTTTGGTTTGGCTGAAACGCTGTTTACTCCAAAAGTGTTTTGTGGACTCAAACACTTCAGCCACTCCTCCATTGGCACAGTGGTGAGTAGACAATGAGTGCATTTACACTTTCCATCCCTTCAATGTACAATACTTGGACATTCTAGACATAAGTAACATTAACACGTGTGTTTCTTTCAGACAGGAGTGTGTCAGTGAACAGGAGGAGGAGGAGGAGGAGGAGGAGGAGGAGGAGGAGGAGGATGATGATGATGATGATGATGATGATGATGATGAGCATCTTCCGCCTGTATCCTCCTCCCTACGTGCACGCGCCTGCCGGTGCAGCGTAAGATGCGCATGTGACGACAAAAGCGCGCAGGACCCGGTTTCTCTTTATATCACACACACACACACACACACACACACACACACACACACACACACACACACACACACTCTCTCTCTCTCTCTCTCTCTCTCTCTCTCTCCCTGTGGACAGCAGAGATCTAGATTCTCAGGCTGATCAGACCTGAATATTCCAGGTCTGCTCGGTTAACTGCACGGAGGTAATACGTGTGTGTGCGCGTGCGTGATGACGAGATTGGCTGCTCATCTCATGCAACATCCCGGACAGTCGCGTGGATCCTCCCACCGGTGTCTGCCTGTATTTATACGGCCAGAGATGCGGCTGTAGGTCGATGTAACGGGACGCCGCTGGGAGATAGAGAGATAGATCACAGCGCGGTAAGACACGTTGTTCTTGGCAGGTGGTTGCATGTGTGTCTGACCTGAATTATGCAATGATGGTAACATGTGCTCCTTGTGACTCATTGGACTCGGGCTGTAAGGAACTGGGAGTGCGTTTAGTGGGAGGCTGGAGCCTGCGTGGGTCCATGAGGGTGGTGTGTGAGGTGGGTCACATCATCCATGCTGCTCCATCAGTGTTGGCTGTGCTGCAGCAGCAGCATGCACATGAGCCACAGGACCAGTAGGCTATAGAGCTGCAGGTTTAAAGTTCACACAATTGTGTAACCGATCTTTCTGCAAGGTGCACAAGTTGCAAGGAATGGTTGTAGTTTGCGACTCCTTTCAGATTAAATCAGGAGAAAAATGAGAAAACTCAGCTTGAAAAGCGTATTTATTTTACTGCATTGTTTCCAAATGAAGTACACGTAAGCAAGTGGATTAAAAAAATGCAGCCTCTATAATGTGTTAATGATGTGACCTCAACAGATATAAAAAGACACACATCAGCTCTAAGTTTCAGCTGTGTTTTAGCCCACAATACTCAGAACACTGTGTTCTAGAAAAGTGTGGTCCGTCCACACATGCTGCACAAAGGGCAGGGAGACAACCAAACAAAAGTGAGGTCATCCAACATCTTGGGTTGGGACGTTTCTATCCTTCCATTTTAGATGTGGGTGTGTTGAACTCTCAATGTTTCCCTGAATTTGAAACATTTATCCTTTTCCTCTCAGGCATTACAGTTTGTAGGATCAACTGTGCAATTGTTTTTACTTTGGTAAATGACACAGAATAAACTACAAAGATTTAATCATACTCTTCCATCTCAAAAATATGGCACTGCAGGTTGAGATGCCACATGATGCAACATCAGTGACTGATGTGCTCTATAATAATCATACTGAGAGATGCAAGCTGCAGTCTGAGATTCTTGTTCAAGGGCCTCAACAAACAACTGTTCCAAACACACACAAACTGCTGTGACTAAATAATCCTGTTGATCTGAGATATAGATGAAAACTCCATCTTGAAGCTGTGTTGTCAAGCATACTGTTGCTGTTGTCAAGAATGACTTCCTTTCTACTGTTATATCAACCATATGGGGAGACTTTGTTATTTTGTATTTTCTAAAATACTTTGTTGTGAACCAGATGGGATCTCCTGCAATCCACCTACAGTAAGAAACACATTTTGGTCCAAAAATTCTGGCAAAATCAACTTTTAGGACTGTAAACATTGTGGGGTTTCTTAAATTGAGCAGTGGTGTGGAAATGCCAGTATGAAGCTGCCAACTGGGGGCACAACATTCTCCAAACAAGGCAGGCAATGTGTGGAATCCCAGTGCTTTTACTGAAAAAGGTAAACAAACCGACGACAAAAGACAACCGGTTGGCTTTCAGACACAGGTCAGACAGGGAGGAGGGAGGGAGAGAGGGGTGCATGTGAAATGAGGCGGACTGTACTGGCAGCAGGGGCACATGGGAGTTTGAAGGGAAGTGAGACAGAGTTTAGGGATACAAGACAAAAGCCTTGTGGGCAGTGTTTCAGTGAGTATGTAACTGGGGCAAGTGGGCCATGCTTACAGTAGGTGGTGGGTTGTTTTGGCGGGAGAATGTGTGTGTGTGTGTTGTGTCGGTGTGTCGGTGGTGGGTATAAGGGGGGAGGAGCTCTGATGGTTTGGTCTGTCAGCATGCCAGGACCACATTCTCATCCTGCTGCCATTGAAAGGGGCGGTAAAGACATAAACAGGCCCAGTGGGATTAGGGCCCACTCGGAGGAGTGATCAGAGGGGATTTGCTGCCCGGCGGGCACACAATGGCACTGTCGGGTAACACACAAACACACACTACACATGCTCACCGACAACATTTCACAACAGATCTGAGCCTACATAAATCTGATTAGAACACCCTTTTGTTTAGGAAGCGGTACCGGGGTTAACAGAGGCTAGTCTCGCCGCAGGCCATGTTTGATAGGACAGGGGGTGTGTGGACGTTGGCGGGACGGCAAGGACAAAAGCCGGGGGTATGTTGTGTTGTGGCGGGGTGTTTCCACGTGTGTGAAGCCCCAGACAGACAGGGAGGGTCATGGCTGTGTGTGGAAGCACAATAATGGGATGAATAAAGGCCCCCCCCACCCTCAATGGTTGTTTCAAGTCAGCTGACGATGGTGGTTGGAGACAGGATCTAACCCTGACATTAAACAACAACACCGGCAGACAAAAAGACAGCAGGCCGGTTTGAACCTGTTCAAATAATCTGAACCAGTTTGCTCTAAGATAAACATGTGATGCACAGCTTCAGACAAGATCTTTCTTTGTAATTCTACCTTTTTGTTCCTCCTCAGTGCCGGCTCTGGCCCAGGTTGCAGCCATGCCTCTCCTGGAAGAGACCGCTCTGCCACAAGAGCACCCACCCACCGTCCCTGTTGTCATTATAGGTTAACATCTCAGTCTATGTCGTGCCACGTGATGCTGTGTGCCCCATTCTGATACTAATCCACCATTTAATAAACTTGGATTTGTTTTTCAGGCAATGGGCCTTCGGGTATTTGTCTGTCCTACCTGCTGAGTGGATACAAGCCCTACCTAGATACGGCAACTGTCCACCCAAACCCAATACTGTACAGAAAACTGCAGGAGACCAAGCACCTACCCATCACTGAACAGGTAAAGACAGTGCACATTACTTCAATGTGTACATGACCTCACAGGGACTACTTTTTCTTTTAATATTTCCTTACTGTTTTGTTTTATTTTACCTACTAATTGATTTTAATTCTGTATTTTGACTGATTTTATTTGCCTCTCTCCCATATTTTATCTTGGTAAAGCACTTTGTTTTGAAAAGTGCTGTATTAATAAAGTTCATTACATGTCTGGACACTTTCCTACAGGATCTGGAGTATTTGAGTGAAGGTCTTGAGGGGAGGTCAGGGAATCCAGTGGCTGTGCTTTTTGACACACTGCTGCACCCCAATGCTGACTATGGCTATGAGTTCCCTCCTGTCCTTCAGTGGAGGAGGGACAAACAGCAACACATCCCACACCTGGTGCTGGGGAGGGCAACACCTGGAGGTGCTTGGCATGTAAGCTACAAGGTTTAGTCTTCCAAACCTAACCATCCATGTTTTCTGTTCATCCTTTTATTATTATAGTCAATTTTTAAATTTTGCATTTTCTTCTCCCCCTCTTTCCTCTCCTCAGGCAATGGAAGGCTCCATGTTGACTATTAGTCTTGGCATCTGGATGGAGCTTCCCGGAGTCAACTACAGAGACTTGACCAATGGGAAACGCAGGTAACGACAAGGGGCAAGATTTATGGCAAGGACATGTCTCAAACTTCAGTACTACCTTGTTCCTCATTGTCTCCCTTCTCTCTCCAGGGATGTAACCAGTGACAGAGCAACCCCAGAGGAGATCTCATCCTATTACCGTAACTATGTGCAGCTAAAGGGCCTCCAAAATAATTTTGTTGACAACACCTATGTGACCTCCGTCCAGAAGCTCTGCCGGGGGCATGATGGGCAAACTGATGAAGGAGATGTACAGGTGGGAGATGGTAGAAATGGGGGCTTTGAGGGTAGTGGAGTTAAGTGTGTAGATGATGGAGGAGGGGGAGTTCTCTGGGAAGTAAGGGGATACCAGCAGGTGCAGAACGACACTCATGTACCCTTCTGTCTATTTGCTGAGAACGTGGTTCTCGCCACAGGTGCATCAGATTCACCGATTCGATTAGGTGTAGAGGGGGAGGACCTACCATTCGTATTCCACAGTATCTCAGACCTGGGATTGGCTGTAGGCCGCAGAGAGCTGGATATGAACTCTGATCCGGTTTTAATTGTAGGTGCCGGTTTAAGTGCGGCAGATGCAGTTCTGTGTGCTTGCAACAGCAACATTAGGGTGCTACATGTCTTTCGCAAGAGCGTAGATGACCAAGATCTCATCTTCAAACAGCTGCCCAAGACCCTGTACCCAGAGTACCACAAAGTTTACAACATGATGTGCTCTCAGACCTACACAAATGTGGCCACCTCCTCTGCTCCTAACAGACCCCAGGCAGTTAGCATTGCCTCTTCGGTTTGTGCCAAGATGTGCCCGAAGCCCCAGCTGGCCACAGGCAATATGACTGGTAACGCCAGTGTCGGCTTGTTTCCCGACTACACTAGTTTCCCAGAACACTGCGTGGTGTCCTTCCAGTCTGACATGAAGTGTTTGCTGCAGGGGATGAACTCCCTCAAGGCGTTCAAGATCTCCATGGTCCTGGTGCTAATCGGGACCAACCCCAACTTATTTTTTTTGAAGGGGCAAGGCCAGTACCTGGGTCAGGATCCAACAAAACCCATCTCTTGCAAGCAGAACACCATTGACATCCACCCATACACGTTTGAGTGTACCAAGGAACCAGGTCTATTTGCCATGGGCCCGCTGGTGGGAGACAACTTTGTTCGCTTTTTGAAGGGTGGCGCTTTAGGCATCGCCTCCTGTCTGCTGAAGAGACTCAAGAAGAAAGGAAAGCTCATCAGCAGTGGAGGAAATAACTTCATCTGAAAACATGATGGAAAAGAGAGTAGTACACGTTGGTTGTAGGGCACAGATATTGAGTGCTTTTTGTAACCGATGTAAAAGGTGTTGAGGAGTTTTAATATGCTCTGATCATTCATGCAGTATTTTCTCATCACAGCTTGGACATTTTAAACTTACAGAGACCAAAAAGACAGTGGATGTACACCAATTAGTTTCTAAAGAAACAAAAGACCGCTTTCAAGAGTCTTGTCTGACTTCACAAGAAGTCCAAGCTACCGTGTGCCAATGTTTTCTAGTCAATCTGTAACCTCACAACTCAATGGGACCTTATATTCATCAGGGTTATTTATTTGTTCACCATGTGTCTTTCAATCCATTTATTAACTAACTTTACTTGACTTAAATCGTTTTTTTATAAACTTCAGGAGACAGAATACTAAAATGTAGAAGCGTCTTCTCTAAAAGCAAACTGTGGTCCCGCTTACAAACGTGCAATGATCTGAACTCTACGCAACAAAGCCAAGAGTGGTGACTGTTTGCCGAGATTTATTACAAAAGATGTGAACTGACTAGTTCATGTTCCTGTTTATTCTGAGCCAACCACTTTTTTTTTTAAATACAGATATTGTTCTTTTAACTGCTGTTGTATGAGCTAGTCTAGTCGGAGCTTTATACCTAAAAAAAAAAGTTTGAAATGTCTAATATTCAATTTTTTACATTACATGTCATTTAGCTGCTGATTTTATCAAAAGCAGCTTCCAATTAGTGCATTCAACATCTATGAGGGGCCATTCGGGGTCCAGCATCTTGCCCAAGGACACCTGGGCTGGGATTTGGGCCATAACCTTCTGGTTGGAGTGCAGTTTTTTAAATTTTGTAGAAAATAGGATAAAACAAGAAACATCAGTATGATCCTTTAAATTTGGCATTTGAAGATAATTGACGTTCACATTATGTCGAGAATATACTGAATACAGTTCCAGCCATAATTAATTTACCTAAGAAAATCCATATTGATAGAGATGGAGAGACGAGTCTTAAAAATGACAGAAAAAGAAAAGCACACTTGCAAAACACCCATTTTTACAATCATACCATGCAATTAATATATTTTAATATCTTAGAAAACCAAATCTCTGCCCCCAATTATTCTTGTAATCACAATTTCTTTTAAATTTAAAGTTTGGCTATCCGTGTATTATCTAAACTACATCTTGAAACTAATCAAGACTAGATTATTATATCACTATTTATAACTGAACATCTATCATTGTACTTATGGTTGATTTATTAAGTGCAGAATATCAGTTTAGAGAGGTGATGAGCAGTAACATTAACATCTAATAATTCGATTTCTGCTGCATTTAGCTTCCTTTCATTTATTTAAACTCTGTTTATAAGTGTGTTGCCATATGGAGAGTATTTTGTGTGCTGCTCCCACACAGCTCACGGTTCGTTGACTGTAGGGGATTCTTTCTCCCCCTTTCATTAAAAGCAGTAGTCTGAGTCAGTGTTGGGGGTTAGTAACATTAGTAAATAATGTACGTAGTCACATGATCTTTTCCATTTATAAAGATGTGGTTTAACACTATTTAAGTTTTGGTAACCATAGAGCAGTTGACTAGTGCAAATGTGACTTGTGTTAAATACTGAATTTCAGCTGAATTATTTCTTGATGCTTTTTTCACTGATTTCTGAAAATTGTTTTGATATAAATATTAAATATAAGCTTGCAGGCACAAACGCCTGCTTAGCAGCAACTGCTTTGGGTAGAAGCCAGAAAAGTGTTTCAAGGACAGGTTTGGTAAGATTTTCAGCCAGTGCATTAATACCAGGACTACAGAGGACTCAATAGTCAACTCTCAATTTGTACGTGGCACTTCCTGTGAATATGAAGGGACATGTGTGTTTCGAGCGTCTACGCAGAAAGGCCAACATGTGTTAAACATGACAGCTTCTCATCTGAAGAGTTTTGGGTCTGCAGAAGTGCCTGATGGGTCGGCTCATTAGAGATCACTCAAACACTTAAATCCCTCTAAGTTTCTCGTTAGCTAAAACCAGGGAACACATTAGGTCTTAACTTCACAACGAAGGAAAAGCTGCTTTCAGCATGTAGAGTTTTATGCTCTCTTGTACAATTGAAGAGTTTTTAATGTTTTGTATGCCATATTTTTTATTATTGACAAATAAAAATTGGGAAAAGAATCTCTGAACATGAGACTGTTTTCTTAAATTGTTTGCTGTCAGTAAGTTAACAAGTCGATGATTATATAGAACAGAAAATGTAAACACTTGTTAACATTTCACATTAGTTTACCGAATGAGAAGCATTAAATCCAACATTGTGGTTCAAATAAACATACATATGTAATTTCTGGAGTTTTTCCTGTTTTCCGGTGAGTTGGATTTACTTCATGTTTCTTCGAAATGAATTCTCACTTCAAGATGAAGGCTATTCATCTTCTCATTTATCTCCTCTTGGTTAGCTTGGTAGGGTTGTACCTGTGTGACACACACACACACGCAGAGTTTATCTCATAGGTCTGTGCATGTCATGATGGGCTTTTAACATTCCTCATGGATCATTCCTCTATGTCCTAAGAGGCATTTTGCACAAACAATAAAAACAGCCCAACTTAAGCGCTATAAAACATAGACTGTGTTTGAACAGCTTAAAGCAAACAGGCTTCCTATAAACCACGTCTGGAAACTTCGGTTAGACCCACCACAAAAAAAAATACCAGATTGTTTTCTTAGCAGCAGAGTCTGTTCCCCGGATACGCATGACTGACTGAGCATGACTCAGTGATCAAACAGCTCAGGCTTGACACACACACACACACACACACACACAC